AAGCCAGACACAAAAGGACGAACGTTGTATGGCTGCACGTATATGAAATCTCCAGAATACACAGATCCATCAAGATAGAAAGTAGGTGGGTGGTTGTCAGAGCCTAAGGGGAGAGGGGAATGGGAAGTGACTGCAGATGGCTATGGCGTTTCTTTTTGGGGTGATCGAAATATTCTTGAATTAAGATAGGATGAGAGTTGGAGAACTTTGTGATCACGCTAAAAAACCCCCCACTGAATTGCATACTTTATTTTTGTCTATTTATTTATTTTGAGAGAGAGAGAGACAGAGAAGGAGAGGGAGAAAGAGGGAGGGAGGGAGAGAACATGAGCAGGGGAGGGGCAGAGAGGGAGAATCCTAAGCAGGCTCCACTCTCAGCCCAGAGCCCAACACTGGAGCTCCATCTCACGAACCTTGAGATCACGACCTGAGCTGAAACCAAGAGTCAGCTGCTCAACTGACTGAGCCACCCAGGCGCCCCGGAATTGTATATTTCAAAAGAGTGACGTTCATGGTAAGTGAATCACTTTTCATTTTTTCAACAAAGGAGAAAGAATATACGAAGAGATTCTCCTGTAAAAATTGTGAACTCCCCTGCCTGAGCAGGAGAAGGGACTGGGGATGGGATGAGGGGCAACAGTTGACTGCATGGATGAGTTTCAAGAGGTGAATGGATAGAATAAAATAAAAGCAGTCTGGCTGTGGCTGAAAAGAGGGGCGGCACTGAAGGAATGTTCTGGTAGGAATCAGAGGCGGGGCCATGTGCAGAGGCAGGAGGGAAGAAGCATAGGAGCAGCACAGAGGATGGCGGATGATCCGCATGAGGCCAGGATCAATCACACGGACCACAGACGGGCAAGGGGCAGCACCCTTCTATCCCCCAGGACACAGGGGAGGGGGCAGGATGGGCAAAGATACAGAAGAGGTAGGGGTGAGGAGAGAGGGGGGCCTTATTCTGTGCCCGATGGCCTTTACTGTCTCTGTGGAGGAGGAGGCCAGGTCTCTGGGGCCAGAGAGCAGAGTGGGGGTGCTTGGAAGGGAAGGAGGGGGTCTGGGAATCATGGTGAGGTTGGGAAGGGCCTCCTCATGGAATCAGAAAAGGAACCAGTGACGCACGAGAGGCTGCTGAGTAATCCTGAGGTTGGAAAGGCACTTTGGTGATTTTCACATCCATTCCTTGGAGCCTGAGTGAGGCTCTTTGTGTGCCGGGGACACTGTGCTATTGATGGCTGGTAGCTATCGGCTGCGGCCATACAGGGGTCGGCCTGCCTGGGCGTCTGCATCACTGTCACCGAGCGTGGAGGACGTCGTGGGGGTAGAGGTGCACAGCGCTTGCAAAGGAACACGGGTGATGGTGCCCAAGGGAGAGGCCCCTGCTCTGGGGAGTCGCTTCATCTGTGGGGCGGGGACTGAATGGTCAGGACTTCAGCCAATGCTGTGGTCTCCGACCTTCCCAGCCAATGCCACGTTTTTCACAACTATTCACAATCAAAGTTCAACACCCTCACTGCATTTCCAGCCACCTCGTTGCTGCCTGCTGTGGCCCCAAGGGCTCTCCATGACACCCAGGGATGCCATCGGATTTGACTCTCAACAAACAGCATGGAGGGAGGTAGTCGTTCAAGAAGGCGGAGAAGCCAGGCACAGAGCAGGACTTCGTCCACGTGCCCTTGTGCCCTTGGCCCTTCTCTGGGCTGGTGACTGTCCTCCAATCTGCAGCCTGCAGACCTGCCTGGGGTCCCTGGCTGGGGTGTGAGCCAGCTCAAACGACGGGCCCCCTCCTGCTGTATGGGTGCTGTTCCCAAGCCTGACCCATCAGCATCTGTCCTGCCCTTTTAGCAGTCACCGTGCCCCACCCTCTGCCCCCAATGAGCTCCCAGTCAGTCACAGACAAAAAGGGTTTGTCTTTTCTTTTTCATCAAGGGTCCTTGAACCAGGTTTCTTCCCACAGGAAACCAGCTGCGGACCTCATTCCAAGCCACCTATTCCACATTATCTGACTTGTCCATGAAGTGTTCATAATGAGATCTGTGTACGCCTTGGACAAACTGGGGATCCTGTCAGACTGTGCTGAAGAACGGACAACCAAAGTCAGGTGAAACACTGTCCCTGCCCTCAAGAAGCTCTCACTCTTGGGGAGGTCGGGCCAGACCATCTGAGGACTGTGGTGTGATGCGGACCTAGGACTGAGCGTCTCAGAGGTAGCTATGTCAGAGTGATCAGGGAAGGCTGCCTGGAGGAGATGGGGCTTAAGATAAGTTTTCTTCCCTCTCTCTAGGTTTATGCATGCATTTTTAACTACCTTAATATGCGTGGTTTTGCATAAAGAAATTTAAATGATTTTATCAAAAAAATTTTTTTAATATTTATTTTTGAAAGGAAGAGAGACAGAGCATGAATGGGGGAGGGGCAGAGAGCCAGGGAGGCACAGAATCTGAAGCAGGCTACAGGCTCTGAGCTGTCAGTGCGGAGCCTGATTCGGGGCTCAAACTCATGAGCCGTGAGATCATGACCTGAGCCAAAGTTGGACACTCAACCGACTGAGCCACCCAGGTGCCCCCAAAATAAACAATTTTTAAAAACATGAGAAATATCTTAATATCAAAGAAAGAAGAAAGTCTCTGTGATTTTGTTTGATGGACTGGGGGATAGAGAAATTCACTCTCGTGCCGTGTGGCCCCTTTGCCACGCTTACTGGGACCGCCGATGGTAACTGGGGACATGTGTGTCTTCACTCCGGGTCCCACCAGGACTTTGAGCAGAGAGACCCTATCTTAAACTGAGTTCCGGAAAAGGAGTCTGGTTCCAGCAGCACAGAGATGCGGAATGGTGTGAGCTGTAAGGGCCCGACAGCAGCTCAGTGTGGCTGGAAGGCAGGGAGCCTGGCACATAGTGGCTGGAGGGGAGCCAGGCCTTCTGTGCTAAATCAGGGAGTTTGAACTTTATCTCAGAGGCTACTGGGAGCTACTGAAGCATTTAAGCCGGGGCAGGACAGAGCTAGCAGGTGGAGGAGGGATAGTGGAGCCCAGACTGGACCGGGGAGGCTGGCTGGGAGGGCGATCAAGGTTAGGGTCAGATCCAAGCGTGGCAGAGATGAAGAGTTGGGGGCGGCACAAGGGACATTAAGGGGGCAGAACTCTCAGCCCTGCAGACATGGGGTGAGGCTGAGTGGGAGGGAGAACAGCAGGACCCTGGGAGTCTGGCTCAGGGAACAGGGGAGGGGACAGGAGCAGCAGCAATTGAGGGAAATGATTTTAATTTCCCTTCTGCCGAGGGTGTTGAGGTACGTTTTGTGTGTGTGGGGGTGTGTGTGGGGGGGGTCTCAGGAGCTATGTAGGGGTCCTGCCAACACAAGTCACACCGAGCAAACACGAACGAGTTTGGGAAGCCCATTCTTTAAGATCAGACAATGATGCCACAGTCTCTCACTGCCCCACCTCACAACTTACCTCAAGAGGCTCTTTTTAAAAAAATATTAAAGTTTATCTATTTGTTGAGAGAGTGAGCGAGCATGAACGGGGAAGGGGCGGAGAGAGAGGGAGAGACAGGATCCCAAGCAGGCTCAGCGCTGTGGGCACGGAGCCCAACACAGGACTCGAACTCACAGACTGTGAGATCATGACATGAGCCCCAAACCAAGAGTTGGCCACTGAATCGACTGAACCACCCAGGCGCCCCTACCTCAAAAGGTTCTTAAAGGGGCCTGTTGCCCTGTCAGCGTGGAGCCTGCTTGGGTTTTTTATTTCTCTCTCTCTCTCTCTCTCTCTGACCCTCCCCTGCTCGTGCTGTCTCTCCAAAATAAATAAAAATCTAAAAAAAAAAAAAAAAAAAAAAAAAAAGGTTCTTAGAAACCAACACGAGGTTTCCCAGAAGGAATTTGGATTCAGATTCTGCTAGGGTATAAGGAGAACCCACCGCTGAGTGAACACCTTCCTGGCACAGGCCCCAAAGGGTTGCTACATAGATGTCTGGTCACTTGGCAGGAATAAGTCTGGGGCTCCCTCTGGGGTCACGTGGCCCCTTTTCTGGAACCCCTATTTTCTTAAGTAGCCATTTGTCTGCATTCTGTGGCCTGGGTGCTGTTGTGTCCTGGGATTTCTCCACACTCACCCCCAAGTCCTGTCCCTTTCTGCGTGTGAATGTTTCAGGGTGCCTCCACCTTGATGTGAGCAGTGCAGGGGTGTGGTGGCAGGGCGGGGGGGGGGGGGGAAGGTCAGCGGGAGGGAGAAGGACGGGGAAATTGGGGTCTGGGTGAACTCCCTCCCTACCCACAGCTGTGCTTTTTGGTTTGAATGGAATTAAGAGTATTGGGTTTATAAGAAAAACATTTTTTTGATTTATTACAACATTTATGTCCTATTGTATTATCTGCTGCCATTTCTTTTTCTAGAATGTCTGCCTCCAAAGCCAAACACATGAGTGCACGTGTGCAAACATGCACGCACGCACACAGACACAAGCACACGGGCATTTTGTGCTTAACCGATACTCTGGATTAAATCAGACTGCTCACATCGTTGTATCGTTACATGACTGAGTTGACCAGACATTAGAGAGGTCAAGGTAAGCCTCTTAACCAGGTGAGCAAGGTCTCTCTCTGCAGCCAGCCTGGCCCCTTGGGGGTGAGAGACTGAGGCGCGTGGCAGGTTTTCCCTGGGAAAAGAGCGCCTTGGGCTCCCCGTGGCCTACAGGAGGGTCTGGGTCACTCGGCCGGTCACACAGCCTTCCCCGGGGTCTGGTCTGCCCACTCTCCTCAAACCCGAGGGCAGGCTGTGTTCCTGCCTCCTCTCTCCCTGGAGCTCCCCACCACCGCCCCATTCTGGCCTCCCAGGCCTTGGCGCTCAGCGCCGGCGGTGCCTGCTGCCTTTTCCTTGTTGAGAGCAGTGGCCGGACTCTCGGAGCCTGGTCCCAGCACCCGGCACAGGCCAGTCTTTACTGAGCGACCGTGCTGACGACGTGGGCAGAGAGGGGCCGGGTGCCCGTCTCAACAGGTCACCATCTCCCATAAAGGGGGGCCGCGCAGGCCACTCGCTGTGGCTGAGGTGGGCCACAGTTTCTCTGGGGCCGCCTGGCTCGCTTGGGGAAGCATGCGGCGGGTTATGTCGCCACCTATCGCCTGGTTTGCTCCGCAGAAGTCAGCCAGGGCCTTCCTTCGGGCTTGGCTTGAGAGGGGAAAGAACTCAAGCCCTCCTTCTGAGGACGGCACCGGCCCTGGGCGGAGACAGAGCGGGAGAGGTTCTTGACAACCCGGTGGAAAGTTGGAACCAGGTCCTCGCCCGGCTCCGGCCGCACGGCCTGGGGCAAGCGGTTCCTCCCCTGGGCCTCGGCCACCTTCTCTCCGATGACGACGACGCCCAGGGCCGCGGGTGCTGGCAGGGCTGGAGCGGGGAGAGCAAGGCTCCCCGAGCTGGGAAAGTGCGGAGGGAGCCCCGTGGAAGAGGCGGGCCGATCCCGGTTAGTTTCGGAACCTCCCTAAGCCACTTTCCTCCTTCCTTGGCGAGTTCACCTCCCAGAGCCGCGGCAGGAATGAACGGAAGCCAGGCCGCGAGGGTCCCGTCATTACCCTGCCACCACACTGCCCGCCGGGCCCGCGGGGAGGCTGACTTCGTAACGCCGCCCGACGCGCACCTCTCGCGAGAACGCAAAGACCAAGCCGCACACGCGGCCCGTCAACCCGGCTGTCCGCGAGAGGACACGGGGACGACGGAGAGGAAACAGGGGGGGCCCTGCACGGGCCGGTGGTGGCGTGCCTTGACCGCGGGGCGTAATTACGTCTATTGTCTGCACCAGAACTTACAGAGGAGCCTAAACCGCCAAACCCACGTGAGGGAAAGAGTGGTTTCCCGAGCGCCAACTGCGTGACGCGGCCGGACGAGGCCGGTGCCACCTGGGAGGCACCTTAGTTGCCTCGTGCTGGCCTCCCGAGGAGCCCTCTCCGAAGTTTCTTTGGAGATCAGCCACATACGAGCTGGTTTCCTTGTCCTTCGGGGGCCACACGTCCCCCTGGCAGAAAGAGAAGACCCCAGTGTCCCGCTCGCACGCGCACGGGGACGCCCACCACGTTCCTACAGTCCCAGCTCCGTCCTTGCCGCCGGCTGGCACCGCAGCCCGTTCCCTCAGCATTGGACCACACCGGCCACACACGGACACATCGCAGACCATACAGAAGCCCTCAGAACACAACATGGAGCCCCCTGTCTTTGCCAGAAGGGCCACTGGGAAGTCTGAAGTGCTTCCAGTTCGTATTCACACACGTATATTCAAACTGCCGTGTGTCGTTCTCCAGGGTCCGTCTTGGTCGAAGCCACAAAGTGTCCCCAGGACAGCGGCACTGGGAGCTCTCTCGCCACTCCCCTTCAAAGGACTCCCGGTTGCTTCCAGTTTTGCCACGGCCCCAACCAGTGGCACAGGAGCCGCGCCTTTAGTCTGCAAGCGTAAGTGGTCTCAAAGGACAGAGGATTTATTACAAGTGGGACCTGCCGGGTTGAAGAGTGTGTATTCTAACTCGTCGTGCTTCCAAACGGTCTTCCCAAGAGGCTTCAGCCCAGAGTGACCTTCCTGAAACACCCACCTGGGACCACTCCTCTGCTAAAGCTTTCGGCGAGTATCCCGAAAGGAAAAGCTGGGGAAAGAAGCCGAGAGGGGAGCGGGCGGTGATGGGGCGGCTCCCACCGCTCGAGGGTGCTGTGTGCACCACACACGTGCGTACGTGTGTGTGCACGCTGTGGGGGGTGCAGGCAAGGCTGGGGACAGGAGTTAAGCAGGAAGAACTGAGGGAGAGGAGGCCGGTGAAGACTGAGGAGTGAAGACACCAGAGTGGCACTTAAGACAGCGGGGCTGTGCGGCCACCCCGGAGGCCAAAGAGGAGAGCGCAGGTGGGTGGATGGCCTTGCTGGGTGCGGAGGCAGGGCTGGGCGAGGTGCTTGTGCAGGGCGGGGGGTGGGGGGTGGGGGGGTGGTTTTGGTCTGGAGGGGTTGAGGGAGGTCTGACTCCAGGTGATCCCAGGTCATGGTCATGAGGTCTGGAGCTGATCTGGGAACCATCGGCAAGGTTTCCGTGGCTTCTCGAGAAAACCGTTCTTCTGAGGCTACCAGAGGGGTCACCCAGGGAGGCCTCTCAGCACCCTTTCTCCCCAGGCACAGTGGGAGGGCCCAGCCTGCCCCAGGAAGACTTGGCTTTTTGCAGAGGGTGGGGACACGGGCCAGGTGCCTCTTGGGTCAGGAAACATGTCCGGCCCTGTGGTCTGGCTGGGTCACTTGTGAGGCCTTGGCCGTTGGCTGTGTGGACTACACATGTGAAGTTCCGGGAGTGATTCTGAAGAGTGAGGGGTGGGGCGTGGTAATAAGAGTGAGACCAAAGGGCTGCCCGAGGGTTGGGAAGAAATCAAGAGCTTCCAGCTCGGAAATTCAGGGAAGAGCCTAAGAGGGAAACGCCCGCTGGATCTGACTGCCCCACAGGTCAGGGTGAGACACCGGGAAGGCAGTGGGCTGGGGAGTAACTGGCAGCAAGAGTGAAGCCAGTGTAGACAACACCCTTGAGGAAGGTCGGCCAGGAAGGAAGATGAGGGTCGGGAAGGGTGAGGAGGGAGGGCACAGGGTTGACAGAAGGACCCAAGGGCAGCGTGGCCGTGGTGGGAAGGCCCGGCGCATTCGTGTGAAGACCGAGACAAAGCTGTGGGGTGGCCTGCGGGGCTCAGGGCCAGAGCCTGGACGGGGCACCTCCCCCCTCAGCACCCGCAGGGAGCCAGGCCCCAGCCCAGGGGGAACCAAATGGGGGATAGCTGGCTCCAGCGTTTCTACTGGATTTGTCCCACAGCAGCACCTCCCCACAGAAGGGAGGTTTCAAGGGAACCCCCGTCCCAATGCGTGGGCATCTCATTCCTGGGTACGTCAGGAAGAAGTGCTCTGGAGAAGAGACCCAGTTCTGCTCTTGCCGATCCCCTTGGTCTTAACGAGCAGCTGTCCCTCTACCCCCCCTACTTACTGACTTTACAAATTTAGTTGAATTCACACAATGTATACTGGATCTTGCCAGGACAGGGAAAGGTTTTATTTATTGACAACGAAAACATGTGTAACATAATTCTCTCTCTAAAACAGAAAACCCCATAAAATACACAAAGCAATCTCTATCTGTATTTACCCAGGGACATTAACAGCCGGAAGGGGGGCTGAGACTGGGAGAAAAGCCAAGGACTAATTCCATTAAAAAAAAAAAAGAAAAAGAAAAAAAGAAACTGAATTAAAAAAAAAATAGCATTTTCCTGCTTGTCAGTAGCTGCACTTCCCCCTACTCCGTGTATGAAAACGTGAAACAGAAAACAGCACCTGTGAAAACACACTTCGGCCGTGCCAGGCAGAGATGAGGCAATGGCCCAGGGCTGGGGAATTCCTGCCCCGACTTCCAAGCAGGTCCCTGCAACACAGTCTGCCCTGGGCAGTTCTTTCCCAAAAGCCCCCCCGCCCCCAACGACGACGGACAACTCCAGCAGCCTGGCTCCTCTTGTTTGAAGTTTAGTCGGAGAACCTAGGAATCAGGCACAGCAGTTAGGAATCCAACAGGGCTCAGTTGCCCCACACTGAGCCCTCAGCTGCAAGGGCCACAGGCGGTCACAGCCACCCATCAGAAGGAGCCAGAGCCGGTCGGTCCCAGGTCTGTGGTGACGACACTAGACGGGGTCGGGGAACAGATGCATGGCTGCAGAGCCCCTACTGGATGGGCTCTGGGAAACGGTAACCGATTAACATGGCAGCTCTGAAAGGCGAAATCACGAACACAGGACGGTCTCAGAAAATCAGAACAGAAAGGACCCTCACTTCATCCAGCTCAACTTCATTTTTCAAATGAAGCCCCAAAAATAAAAGACTAATTTTTGAATGCAGGTAGAGCCTTATTCATTAGAATTTCTCAACTGTTCCACAAGGAGTGACACTGCCTTAGCCATTTAAAGATGTGAAAAACACCCCAAAGAGTCCAATATAGAAGCAGCTGCTTCTCAGTGGGATACCACCAAAGACCTGTAAAACACACTGGGCAGCACGAGCCACCAGGATGTCACCACACTAAGAGCCTGGACAAACGTTTCCCAGGCAGCTCCATGGCACAACCGCCATCACACTCCACACTGGTGCAAAGAGACAGGGTGGCGGTTTATCCAGAACCAGAAGACCGCAGTTCAACTCCTGGCTGCTACTACTTCTGCTCTGTGCTCCTGTTTCCTCATCTATAGACCGTGCACGATAATATGAACTTCACCAAGCTGGTACGATCGTGACAGTTATCTGAAGGAGGGCATGTGACAGATGCCATTATAACAACTACTGATGGTTCTGCAGTCTTTGCCCACCATCCCTCCTCCCTGATCCCCTGGCACTAAACACTGGCCCCAGAGCTGCAGAATGTGGGTACACAGAGGGCTGGGAGGCTGGGTGTGCATTCCCAGCACTGGGGCAAGCAGATGTGCCAGTAAGGATACTGCCTCCACTCCCTTCATGCAGGACAGCAGTTTCTGAGGGGAGGAGAAGCCCGCGTGGGACGCTCCCCCTGGTGCAGGAGCAGCAGCCCAGAGCAGGGAGGGGAAGGCCAACGCTTCCTCCTCCAGTTGTCCATCTTGTCTCTCATTTAAATCTATGAAGAGTGCTTTTTGTTCCTATAAATACTGTGGAACTCTTCTCATTATAAGCCTTTGTTGGCCACCTTTATCCCAAATTACAGAAAAACATGGCACCAGTAAAACATGGCCATGAACTGTGAGATCATGACCTGAGCTGAAGTCAGACCCTTAACCAACTGAGCCACCCAGGCGCCCCTTTTTTAAAAGTGAGTGAGCATACACCCAAGAGGGGAAGGCACAGAGAGAGACATAGAGAGAGAATCCCAAGCAGGCTCCATGCTGTCAGCACAGAGATTGATGTAGGGCTCAAACTCATGAACTGTGAGATCATGACCTGAGCTGAAATCAAGGGTCAGATGCCTAACCAAGCAAGCCACCCAGGTGCCCCTGGAGAAGCTTTTTAAGAAAAGAGGGACTGTTGTGGCTGCCCTGTGGGGAAGAGATTGAAGGGGCATGAGAACTGCATGGGGAGAGCAAGGCTCTCTAACCTAGGCTCTCAGGCTGCTCTGCACAGCACACTGAGGTGGGAGCTGCAAAGCGGGTCCAGGCCCTCAGAGACTGGCAGCTTCACTCTTCTGTTGGGCAGCGCTGTGCTGCCCAACATGTATCCCCATGTATTCCTCCACAAACCCAAGCTGCCACACCAGAGCAACCACTCTAAGGCCGTCACACTGGACAGGCCACGTGTGGGCTCCAGTCAATAGTCCACACACATGCCTGATTAGAATGAGGCCCCTTTTCTACAGCCCCAGAGGTGGGAGGCGTTTGCTGCACCGTGCCGGGCATCCAGACAAGGGAGGGATGGGGTGGGACCACACAGGATGCGTGAGGGCAGAAACATCAAAAGCACTTTCCTGTCCAAACCCAAGCGAAGTTACGAAGAAACAATAGGCTGGCAGTAATCTCATGAGGACCTCTGATGCAATCACGCCGAGAAATGTCTAGCTGTGGGGCCAAAACCAATCTGACATCACCTCTGATCACTTGCAACTGCTGTCCAGCTTGAGGCCTAACAGGACTTCAGAACCTACTGATGAAACAAGACAGAGCTCAAGCCCCAGAATCAGTAAGGGGAGAGGAAAACCCACCAGAGCATCCATGGAGCATGATTTAGTCATTCCACTATGAATGCTACCGTTTGTTGTACAAACATGAAGAGTCAGTCTACCATTAAAGTGTAAGAAGCAGTTAATTTACCCTGTATAGATGTGAACCCTTTGTTCTGGGTATTATGAGTCCATAAACAGAAATTTGGGTACAACTATTTATTACTGTTTTTTAAAGATTTTATTTTTAAGTAAACTCTACACCCAACGTGGGGCTCAAACTCACGACGACCAGGAGACGCTTGCTCCTCTGACTAAGCTGGCCAGGCGTGCTGGGAAAACTATCTGTTATTTATTTATTATTGTGAGAGAGAGAGAGACAGCACGAGTGGGGAAGGGGCAGAGAGAGGGAGAGAGAGAAGCCCAAGCAGGCTCTGCACTGTTAGCACAAAGCCTATGCGGGGCTCAAACCCAAGAACTGTGAGATCTTGACCTGAGCCAAAACCAAGAGTCAGACACTTAACCGACTGAGCTACCCAGGCGCCACTCCCCCCGCAATCAGGACAACTACTTTAGACATTTGAATAAAAAATAAAGATGTATATCCTCAATTCAAATTAAGGATGGAAATAAACTGACAATAGTTTAGAACCCTAAACCTAAAAAAAAGAACTATACAAATACTAGAAGGAAACAAGACATTACTTGCTGGCCAAGGGGAAGCATAAACAGACAAATGAGAGTAATGGAGGTGAGACAAACTGATGAGGCCCCTCTTACAGGTAGTCTCACTCCCTGTCCCCCAACTCCATTCAACAGCAACATGCTCTTCTGAATGAGCCAGCCAGGTGGCCCCTGAAATGTATTTAAATGCATATTACATAATACAAAATACATAATTCTATTTGTGGGAAACACTGCATATACACCCACATTCTCAAATATTCACAAAAAACCTTCAGGAAGGACACATATAAAACGTCAACACTGGTTACCTCTGGAGTGTGGGCTTGGGGACTGAGAGCTTTTACTTCTCAACCTTTTAAAAAAAAAAAAAGCCTATAAGCATGTAGCATTTTCATAATTTAAATTTTACTACTGACACACAGCTGTCAGTATGGGTGGGGTGAGTAGAGGAAGCAGCACGCAGAATGCTGATCATGGTCAGATGGGTAATGCATACATGGGGAGGTCGACACGCCATCCTTGCTACCTT